AAGGGAGTGAAGCACGCTGGAGGTGGCCCTCGGGGGCTTTTCTGAGCCGTAACATCCAGCGAGTGAGCTCGAAATGACGGAACCACGCATCTCCTCCAGGGAGGACGGTCAAAGAAATTCCGCGAAGCTGCTAGTCACTCTGCCTGTCTTCTTCTGCTTCGCAGTCTGAGATGGATGGTGTCTCCCAGCAAAGAAGACTGTGGGAGGGTGAGGGGCTGGGGCGGCTCTGGGGGCCGCAGCATCCTCGAAGGGCGCTGACGGAGCGCGGCCGCCAGGGGGCGGCGCAGCCCCGCGGGACCGGCCCGGCCCAGCCAAAGGTGGGCCGTGTCCCCGCCCTCTGCTCCCTTCCCTTCCCTCTGCTCCCTTCCCTTCCCTCTGTTCCCCACCATCTGCTCCCCGCCGCTGTACCAGCGCGCCCGTGACACGCTCCCGCCGGTATCCCGACGAGCCATGGTCACAGCACCCCCGCCTTGCTCCCGCGCTGGAAACGCCGGAGGTGGCGGGGAAGGATCCTGCTGATCTGGGGAGCGCTCAGCGGTGCTGGGTCCAGGTGAGTTTTCCAGGCAGTGTGCAGTGCCGACCCCAGCCAAGGAGGATGGGACTCACGGAGAAAATCTTTAGGCTCACTGATCTAGAGAAGGCAAGAGAAGACGTGACAATGTTTAAACAGGTGAAGGCTGCTACAAAGGGAAAGTTGTCCTCCAGTCCCACAGAGCATCAGCTACTGGGCTTGGATACGGGCAAACACCAGTTTAGGTCAGATGCTTGAACAACGTTTCTAATGCTCAAGGTTTTCTGTTTTGGGTGGTAGTGGTGATTTTTTCTTTATTACAAGTTCTTTAAAACCTGTTGTGACCTGGACAGACATATGGAAACAGCCCGGAACCTTCCCTGGCAATCTGCTCAGGAGCTGATTCAAATGTTGCACTGGGTCTCTATTTGCTACAAACTAGAAATCACTGAAGACATTCGAGCTCTTCTGGCTGATGTCATCGTTACATCCTTATGTAAAAATAACTTGTTAAGAAAGAGAAAGAACAGGGCAAAGTGGATGGAAGATGAAGGCAGAAGGGAGGGAAGAAAAGAAGGAAAGACAGGAAGGAAGGGCAGGCAGAAGTGCACTTAACTTCCCCTCCTCGTTCTTAGTCCTGGAAATTCCAAAAATCCCTGGAAATTCTTATGCATTAAAACAGTGTCATGTTCATGAGGAGCCTTTCTGGCTCCTTACACAACAAACTTACTTTAGATATACTGTGCTGTGGCTGGTAACCATTCCATGAGGATCAATTACAGTATAAAAAAGAAGTGCATTTGAGTAGAGTTGAATGAAGAAATCCAGGAACCTCTACCATGCCCTCTCTTCACTACTGGCATTTGCCATTGATCTCAAAACAATCCCACATCAACAGCATCATTTAAAGAAGATATTCAATTTATTAAATGTTAATAACATGATTTACATGTCACATTAGGCTTCTCAGAAGACACCAGTGACTCATCTTGCAATTGCTAATTAATGGAGTATTCAATTACCACAAATCTCTCATTCATTACTCAGAGCAGAACACAATTTACAGTCACTCAGGCTCTTGCAGAGACACCGCAGTTGTCAGAGGAATCCCTGGCACAATCCTGGCACAAGGGAACCTCTCAGACCTCCTGCTGGCAGAGGTCCTTGCTTTTGATAAACTTCCTCCCATTTCAGCCCACCCTCTCCACTTTCAGAAGTGTTGTGCACCACAAACAAAGCTGAAAGGGCACAGGCAGAATCTCCAGCCACATTGTTTTGTGTCAGTAGAGACCTGCATCTTACTTTAGTCCTTGTAAAGGCATGTTCAGCCAGCACAGCTCTTGCTGAGCCAGCAAAGGAAACACTGCCTGAAGTAAGTATACACAAAAGTGCCGACACTGTTGACATAATCAGGGTGCAGCATCACAAGCTAAAATAAAATCAGGCCAGCAAAGGTTCACACTATTCCCAAAAGCACAGGGCTTGTCAATCAGATCAGGTGAGGTATTTCCTGCAGGCTAAGGCAGTGCTCCCATGCTCTAACCAAAAAATCATTGAGCTTTTGCATCTGGGAAGCTTGGGGAGAGATCTGTAATCTGTCAAGGGGTTCACAGAGTTTGAACAAAACACCATTGGTGGAGTCGTAGGAGGAGCTGCAGTCACAAAAATACTGAGCTGTCACTCAGTATCAGTATCAGCTTGAACCAAACACATGACACTGCAAATAGCTGGGGCTTGAGTCTAAGCCTGGCACACACTGATAGCTGAGCAAATCTGAGGATAAAATGTGTGATCAGCTGTGTAAGGGACCCTACTCCAACTTGATATTCGGGCTGCTGAGCATAAGGGCCTCTCGTGCTGCTTAGCCAATGTTCACAGGGCTTTACCTGCTACAGGACAGCCCTGGGGAGGATCTGGCACCACAGAAAGCCTGTGGCTGGGCAAGGCTGATGACTGGAAAAGGTGGGATTAGAAGCAGACTCCGAAGCAAGGAGCTGTGGTCAGGGGGAGCAGCTGCATCTAGGGCTAATGTCCTTGGATGCCAATAGAGCCATCGGGCATGCTCCTCAAAAGCATCAATCATCTTGTTCTGATCTAGCAGAGTGTCCCATCTTTCTTGCTGGCCTTCACTTATCAGCTGTGGAGGGAAAAAAAAAAAAGTCTTTGGAATCAGTGTACAGCTCTGAATTAAAATGCCCCCGCAGTGATTTTTTTTTCCTTTCATGTCAGACATTGGATGGTTCTTCCTCAGAACTGAAGGTCTGTGTAGCTTGCACCTTATTTGATTCATTCACACGTGAAATGCCTGGTCTGGGCTTTTATAGCAAGTTGAAACAGGAAGTAAAACTCCCAACTGTCTCAACATGTCTGGACTTGATTTCCACATACTACATAGTTGCAAAGCTCAGCCTAATCCTTAACTAACCCAGGGTGTGAAGTAAGAAAAAATAAGAAAACAAACCTTCACATCCGTTCAAATGAAACTGTATTTAGACAACAAATGTGTGCTCAGACTAAACGGGTGCTTAAGCCATACTGTCACTGAACTGCGACTTCCCAGAAACAGAACAGAGAAACAGGAAAAGGGTAGAGACAATTCCAGGACACAACCAGTTGTTATAATCAACTCTTGACACATCTTTCTGAAAACAAATATTTTCTTGATCAGTAAAATATTTTTATGTGTCAGCCTAGTAATTTGGAGGATCACCAAACGCCCCTTGTACTTAGAGAGGTGGCGTAACACAGATTATTCATGTTTTGTGGGAGAAACATTTAACTCTTCCAGCAGGAAAGACTCATTGCAAGAGAGAAAGCAAAGGGCTCGAACAGCAGTGGCCAGCAGGGCTGCACATCGAGGAAGTAATGGGTAAATTCAGAGGTGACGTCGTTTGGAGAGTGATATCCCCAGGCCCCATGCGTGTTTCCACATGGACACCCCTGCAGTCCCACTCCCTTACTCCTTAGAGCCGCACACATTTCCAGCCCAGGGCTCCAAGGACGGCCCCAGCAGGCACGGACACCTGGGCAGCGCTGCGGGCTCCCAGGCCAGGGCTTGAAGGTTGCTGCCAAGCCGGACCGCCTGCACCGAGCCGGGGCTGGGCCGAGAGCGGCCGCCGCGGCCGCAGGGTTGATCCCCAGTACAGAGAGAAGCAGCCTCAGAGAGAGACGTGGCTCAATTCCTGCCAGAGGGGCCCCCGCCCCCCACGGAAGCTGAAGGCACCCCCTGATGGCACCCTGCCCGCTCCGCTCCCGGGCTCCCGCAGAAATCCCGAGAGCCCCTGGCGGCCCTCCCGCCGGCACGGATCCGAGTGGCCACTGAGCCCGGCCCGGACACGGGGCCGCGCAGCTCCGGCCCGCAGCGGAGCGGCCGCCGGCGGAGGAGCCACGCGGGGCGAGCGAGGGAGGAGGGGCCGGCGGCGGGCGGGCCCGGCTTGCCTGGCGCGCTGGGAGCTGTAGTCCGCCGCCACCCGCTACCGCGCGACCGGGAGCGGAGGAGGACTACAGCGCCCAGGGTGCCCCGCGGCGGCCCCGCCCCGCGCTGACTCGTGCAGCACGTTGTCCGGCTAACGCGCCCCGCGCCCGCTCCGCCGCAGCGCCCCGGCCAGCGGCGGCTCCGCCGCTCCCATCGCCCAGCACGGCAGGTCAGCGGGGACGGGGGGCGGCCGCGCTGCCGCGTCCCTCCGGGCCGGGGGGCGGCGGGGCCGTGCTGGGGCCGACCCCGGTCGTGGCGGGCGCGTGCAAAGGGAAGCGGATGGGGGATGCCGCGGTTCTCCCGGTGCCCCACAGGAGGGGAGGGGGCTGCGAGCGGCGCGGCCGTGTCCCCTCGCTGTTCGCCCTCGGCACGCACCCGGCCCTGCTCCGCCAGGTGCCGGCTCGGAGGTGCTGCCGGGCAGCGGCCGCTCGGGCGGGCAGGGAGGTGGCCGGCGCGCGGCGGCCCTGCTCGCTCCCGGCGCTGGAAGCGCTCCCCGGGCCTGGCGAGAGAGTTGCAGCCGGGGCTGCTCCGGCGCTGCCCCGCCGGTGACCCCGCGGGCGGCGGGGCCGAGGGGCCTCTCCTCGCGAGCTCCGCCTCGCTGCGGGCGGGCTGATGCCATCGGCCCCGCTCGAGGGGCGAGAGGAGGCCGGTGCTGGTGCCCGGGGCGGCCCGCGAGGAGGCCCCGCGCTGCCCTGCCCTGCCGGCCCGGGAACTGCGGCCGGGCAGGAAACTTGGGGGGAAATGCGGCTCTGGGGCAGGTTGTAAGGTGTCTTCAGCTCCTTCGTTATGGCTGTTCGCTGGTTTGGGGGTTCACGGACGTGGCGCAACGCTCCTGGTCCAGGTGTTCGGTGATAAGAGCGTGGGATTTGTTTGGTTCTGGCAGGGAGCTGCGGAAAAGCCGAGACTCACAGTTTTTCTTCTTTTTTTTTTTTTTTTTTTTTTTTTTTTTTTTTTTTTTTTTTTTTTTTTTTGTTCCTAAACAGTTGTGTCGTTTTTTGAATTCACCTCTGAAAATAGTTCAAATTAACCTAGCTCTTGAACATAACTCGTGTCACAGGCATAGCCTGGGCTCTTCTCTTGAGGAAAATACATTTTCTGATGCAGATGTCCATATAACGCAGGTATTTATTTTTGCTAGCTTTCCGGAAGAAAAAGAATATTTTTCTTTGGTAAAAGTTTGGAGAAAGTTGCAACTGGTGGGTTGGAAAAGTGAGAGAAGGAGATGGTCTTTTACAAGTTAGATGCTGTTTCGCAAATGTGGTGGCGACAATACTAGTCTTAAAAAGTACCTAGGGTGTCTGGAATGACACTTCTCCATTTTGTAAAGTTGTGTATCTGTGCAACTACTGTCCACCTCGTTAATGGAAGTATTCCTTCTTAGAAAGCTAACAGAGTCAAGCAAAAAAAATTTAAAAACCCAAACCAAAGAGATTCCAGAGGTTTCTCATTTGTATTTTAGTAGGGAATAGACCTTACACAGTAGGGGGAAAATGTATCCATTTAATTATTCTAAGCTAAATGAGTTTATTAATTAAAATATCGGGGTTGTGGCTGTGGCACTGCTGTTGGTGGCAGTAGACTAAAGATTCAGTAACTTGAATTGACTATTCTATTGTAAATTTCAATTTTAGGTTGCTTATTGTAAATGTCCGTCCTCACAGTGTCTGGCACTCTGGCATCTTAACTGTACACCACTTGGATATTGTGTAGCTCGAAGAGTTAGATTGATTTTTCAGTAAATTCTTTCTTCCATATGGTAAAAATGATGAAACGCTGCTGCTGCTGCCACAACTGTGAATGAACCACGTGGTAGTGCAGTCTATTTGTGGGAGAGTCATACAAGTGCTTTTTTTACAAGAATACTTTTTGGAAAGCATCTTCTTGTTCCTTATTTGCTATTCAGGAAAAGTGCAGAGAGAGATTTGGGGCAGTCTTTGACAATGTAGAAATGAGAGCAGGCCAGAGATAAGTGTGCTCCAGATTTAATGGGAGTGGTGTGTAACTGTGTCTGTCTGAAGTGATATCACAGCATGTGCTTTGCCAGCCAGTGCCAGTAGGAAAGAAGGATTCTGTAGCTCTCCCTGTCCTGTGGGGAGACAGGACGCTGGCTGTCTTTCATAGATGATTTAGTACAAAATCTGACCAATATATTCTCTTGGTGGTAGTTGTTACTAGATTAGAAACATATTTGCAAATACCTATGTGACTTGAATCTGAGATCAGACCTTCAGTTATTGAATGCTTTTTTTAAAGGCCCATTCAAATTTCAGATGGTTTGAGCATATGTTAGTTAATACTGCGGTTCAGTATTTGAACTTAAAACTTCTGTTGTGAAAACTCTTTTTTCCCTTTCTAATAAAGGACTAGGGGAACATAACTTTAATATTAAACCACAGTTTATGGATTTGTATGAAAATGTGCATGCACTCAGTGACAAGTTCTCTTCCTGTACACTTCTTTTTCTCATAATAAAAAAAAAAGTAGGGGAGCTCTTTTCTACTCCTGCCTCCTTCCTTCCCTTGCCTTTAGTTGACCTGTCTTGCAGTTTTGATTGAAATCACTGAGGGATGCAGGATCTTAGCATGTCCCCATGCAAGAATTTAAATGTCCTGATGACCCTGCCTATCAAGCACTGCACAGGAGCTCCAGGAGTGTATCTTCCAGTGGGTAAGCCCTTCAGGCTGTCTGCTGAATAACTCCGTCTCTATTGATAGTGCAACGTCCTGCTCTTATGTTGAGAGTGTGCCTATCTCAGGAAGGGTGTGCACGCTTTTGAGAGAGAGCAGGAACCTACACCACAGCTGAACAACACCATGACTGCTGGTGGAATTGAAGAAAGTGTCCAGTCACCTGTGTGCTGCTGCAGCTGGAGGTGCCGCTCTTGCCTTGCTAGGGTGCATATCTTGCATGTTGTAGCTGCCCTTCAGAAGGACAGCCAGACAGCCGGTTACAGTGTAGCCTGTAAAGGAGCTGGGAGGAGCTGGGATCAGGAGTTGCTGAGGGGTTTTCTCATTTCTTTTGAATGCAGCAGATAGTCATGGAAATAGAGGTGGTTTTTGTTGGTGTTTTTTGTATATATATATATATCAGTATCAGGAACAGTGTGGCCAGCAGGAGCAGGGAAGTCATCCTTCCCCTGTACTCAGCACTGGTGAGGCAGCACCTTGAGTGCAGTGTCCAGCTCTGGCCCCTCAGTTTGGGAAGGATGTTGAGACACTGGAGCGTTCCAGAGGAGGCAGTGAGGCTGGAGAGGGGCTGGGAACACAAACCCTGTCAGGAATGACTGAGGGAGCTGGGAGTGTTCAGCCTGGAGAAAAGGAGACTCAGAGGTGCCCTTATCACTGTCTGCAATTCCCTGAAAAGTGGCTGTAGCCAGGTGGGGTTGGTCTCTTTCTCCAGGCAGCAGCTGACAGAATGAGAGGACACAGTCTCAAGTTGTCTCAAGGGAAATAGAGGTTGGATATTAGGAAAACATTTTTCATGGAAAGAGTGATAAAGTTCTGGAATGGCCTGCCCGGGGAGGTGGTGGAGTCACTGTCCCTGGATGTGTTTAAAAAAAGAGTGGATGTGGGACTCAGTGTTGTGGTTTAGTTGAGGTGTTAGGGCATGGGTTGGACTCGATGATCTTTAAGGTCTCTTCCAACCTAGTCATTCTGTGAATATACTGAATTGGTTAGGTGCAGAGTCCTTTACAGGTTAAATGAGTGGTTCAACAGCTGGATGGACTTGGAAGTAGAACAGCTTTCCTGTGAGTGTGTCAACAGTACTGAATTGTTAGTGTTATCATGGGGCTTCTGTGACTGCAGGCTGGAATTTGCTGCCCTGGAGCTTTCTCTCTGAGTTTTTCTTCAGTTCTCTGCCACAATAGAGCTGTATTTCTTCACTTGTTGCCAGAAGATGGGCTCATGTCATGTAACTGCTTTCAGCTTTGTGTTCACATAATGATTTTGAAAGAGTAAGTCAGCTTGTTCACAGATAGTGTTTGGAGAGTAGAATGAAAGGGACAGGCAAAAGGAGCACTACTGATAAATAATGTGTTTGGCAGTTGGGCAAAATTATTTGTCCTCTGAAATCCCAATTTTAGCATCATAAGGATCGTGTTTCAAAATGTTTATAACAAGAGTGAATGTGTCTGCTGGTACTTTTGAGATGCAGCAGACAGCCATTGACACCTTAGAACTTCTTCACTTGTTTCCTTTGCTTGCTGCTTGTAGGTAATGAACAGAGTGGAAGAGCTGCTTCTTGTAGAGCTCCATACACATGCAGCAGCTGTGCTATTTCCTTCTTGTTCTGCTTGGGAGTGTTTTGCAGAGGATTTTCCAAAACTAGAAGTATCACTTTGTTCATAGCTTTATATGGCCCAGAGGGAGATGTACTGATAGCTTACCCTGAGCTGCTGGATACAGGAAAGTCAATAAAATTATTTTGGTTCTAGATCTTTGCTGAATTCACATAATTCACATTGGAATGCAATAGGAAGGTGACTTGAATAGATGTGTAGGGTCTAAAAAACTTTTAGTTTCTGAGTGCCTGTCCAGACTTGAGCCACATCACTGTGGTCTTTCTGTCCCATGTTTCTAAATTTAGCAGTATATTTGTAACCTCTGCAGCCTCTTAAAAGAGTAAGGATTTGGGCTAATGTTTGCTCATAAATCTGCAATGCAGTGCATTAGCATCCTGATTCACCTCATACTTACTCATTTCATCAAGTAGCCCCAGTCAGTGTAATTAGCAATAACTTGTAAAACCACAGAGCATATGAGAATGCCATCTTGTCTTTCACCCATAAACATGTTTTTAATGTCCCAGGCCACTTGCTCATGTTTCAACACCTCCTTTCAGGCAAAATGAATGTAGTTGTCTTTGACTTTTATGTTTTAACTACCAAAGCCTGCAAATGGACATTGTTTTAACTACCAAAGCCTGCAAATGGACATTGACTCTAGTGTGCAGGTACCTGAGTTTAGGCTGCATATGTCTGCACAGTTCCTTTTGCAGGAAAACCTCATTGATGCTCAGAGGGTAAAAATACACATTTTGAAATTTGTGAACTTCTGAGTCGTGAGAAACCAGAGCCGCGCTCTACAACCATCTGTGATTACAGAACCAGTTGCTCAGTTGAGTTTCAAAGGCGTGGGTTTGTGTCAAAGAGATAACATGCAATATGTGGAGTAGGTCACCTTGGTGATAATTTTGAAATACATTCCAATTTCTGAATTTGTGGCTGTTACATTAATTGGTAGACAGGTCTCCATAGATGCATCCTTCTGAGTATGAACAGGCTTTCAACAGAGTAGACACCATTTGGAGCTGATAATTGTTTGTAAACATTTGTGAGATTTCTGTGCAAAAGTATGGAAAAAGTCTCATCAATCTTAAATACTCTGTTTATGTTGCAGAGTATGAGATTTCAGAGGTTATCTGTTATTTTGGTTTTGCCTTCTTAGTAGGTTAAATGTTAAGCATGGAAGGTGCTTTGTTAGGTATTTCAGACAGTAAGTAAAGAGTGCAACGGTTTGTCAGTGAGAGAAAAGTTTGATCTGTATCTTCTGAAGTACTGATATGCCTCTTTTGTTTACATAAAATAACTGATCCTGTTAAAAGGTGGCAGTATTCAAATGAGATGTGCTTATGCAGTGCACAATATGAATGTAAAGTGTACAGGCTATACCAGCTAAATCAAATATTCGTTGCTAGTGAAACTGCAGGTTTAGAGGATGAAAGGAACACAGCACTCTTAATGCACATAGGTGCAGGTAAGTTTTTATTGCTGCATCTCAAGCCAAGCTGTGTTGGAAGCTGTGTTCTGGCCAGGGATACTGGTGTTAGAGGACTCACACACGGGTCTGTTTGTGACATAGTCTTTTGTGTGTGCCTGTGGCTTATGTCCAGTGCAGGGCAGTTTTGGCTCATTGTAGCATGACCTGTGTGAGGTGTGCTATATTGTCACTGGAGGATTCCCACCTTAATGTTCAACACTTTGCTCTAAAATTCAGTCCTCAGCCTATCTCTTGTCTTTCCCACAGCAACTTCAGAGGAACAAGGATGGGTGGTGGTGCCTTGTTACTAGAAGGAAGTGCTGTCCTGTGGGGTGTGTGGGGATCCTAGAAGGACCAATGAT